CGGTGGTTGAACCATGAATCAACCGGTCATTATCTGGGTGCTCAACTGGTGGGTAACTACAGTTGATCATTGGGTAATCCACTGTTACAAATGATAAGCCATTGAATTGAAAGAAATACTAATGAAGGTAATATTTATTTATTTTATTATTATACAACCTATTTGTACAGGTGACTTTGGATATAATGAATCTCTATGTACGAGCTCTGGATAGAACTAACTCAAAATTTTAAAATTTCATAATAGTTCGATATGGAAGTGCCATGGGTCCTTAAGAAGACATAGTAATTTCCTATAATGAACAGTTCGTCATAGAAGGAGTTGAAAAATTTTTTGCATGTAAAATTTTTTTTATTTTTTATGTAATTATTTCATCCCGAATTTTTCATACAAAATAAATAAATAATAACTACATAAATTTACAGTACATAAAATTATACGAATTTACATGCATTCTACGGACTTTCGGTAATACTATACGTATACAACTTAATTATAAAATTTATATTATACTGTTGTTGCCTATGTGATATCGCGTAAATGTATGAACCTTCAAAGTTTGATGCTATTTAATAAAATTATATTACGAATATAGTACATAAAAATTCGCTTGTCGATTGTAACTAGGGATGCTAATGACTCGACTCGACTGGCTTTGACTTGACTTGCATCAACTTTTACCCCTAAGTCGACTCAAGTCGACTAAAAGTCGATCACATGGGATGCAGAGTAACATTAGTATATATATGGTTTTGATCGTCGTTAGTTACAGTTATGGCGAATTTAACATAACGATAAAACCATAGCATTAGCAAATTTATTATATTTACTTTTATACTGCACAAATCTTTAAAGCATGTGTGATTACATCAGAATTAGACAAATGGTCAAAGTAATGTATAGCGAAAACAACTAGTAAGTATTAAGTAATAATGTGTTAAATAAAAAATGAAGTAATAGTAAAGACAGTAAGAATGTAATAATTACGTAAATCATAAAAATATATTAACATAAATTTTCGCTTTACAATGCTTTAAAAAAAAAGGCTTACATCAAACTTTAGCGATTCAAAAATTGAAAAATTAATAAAGTTATAATTTGAAAAAATTTTAATTACCATATTAGAATCTGTTTATATATAATAAAAAAAAATTAAGAAAAAATATTTCGTCTATCCAACTCTTTAAACACAGGCATGCCTGTGCACTTTCACTTGATAATCTATTCCTGGTTTTACTAATAACCATTCCAGCTATTGAAAATAACTGTTCACAAGGAACTGAGCTTGTTTGTATTGATAAAAAATCTCGTGCAAGATTAGATAATAATGGGAACTCAGTTTGATGCATTTTCTACCATGTTAAAGGTTCAACGCTATCTTCATATAGAGGTAAATTCCAGTAATGTTGTACTTCATCTACTTGTTGTATAGAATAATTTATTGGATGTTGAGTTAATCGTGTTACAAATATTGACATTTTTGGAGCAGATATTGTATTTAAACTTGTTGCAGGAAGTCTACGTTGAATTGGATTAAGAATTTCTTCAATTGTTTTTCTTAGAAAACAATATCTCTTATAACAAGGGTCTAAAAATGCAGCTACATATGAAATATCATCAAGATATCCCCAATAAACCTGTAATTTATTATAAATTAATATAGAAATTTCTTTTAATAAATTATCCTCATTATTATAATTTTTCAAATCTGAACAAATACTAAGTAAAATTATGCACGCATAAGCAATAGTAGGATAATTTTGAGATGATAATTCTTTTGTAGCTATATAAAATTGTTCTAATAAATTTATGAGATCATTAATTTGATTCCATTCATTTGAAGACAAATATAAATCATTTAATGATGAATGACACATAGCCATGATATCTAGATACTCTTTAAGGGTTTGAACTTGTTGAAGCATAATAAAAGTTGAATTTCAACATGTTTTAATATCAAGAATTGGACGAAGAAAAGTTTTTTTATCTACTAAATAATATTGTTCTAAATCTTCCAAATATGAATATGAGTTTCATATTACTTTTACTAATTGGCACACTTTTTTAATTAAAATATCTACTTTTTTTAATCCGTCATTAACAGAAAGATTTATAATATAACATATACAATGATATTGAGAAAATCCATTAAGATCGTTATTAGGATTAAGTTGTTGCTTTATTTTGTTGTATGCTAAAACCATATTTGAACCGTTATCAGTTGTAATTGTCACAATTTTTGAACTTAAATTAAATTCTTCTAAAACTTTTAATATATAATTACTAATTACTATGCCCATATGAGATCCTTAAAATTTCGTAATATCTAAAGTAAAATGACATAATTTCCAATCACTATTAACAAAATGAATAGTAAGTGTGATAAAGCATTCCATTTTTAGATTAGCCCAAAGATCTGTCATAACTGAAACTTTTCCTGGAATATTATTAATTATTAAATTAATATTAGATTGTTGTGTTGTAAACATTTCAAGTATCTTGTTATGTATTGCTTGACGTTTTGAAATTACAAATAAGAGATCAAGTTTATTTAAAAAATTACAAAATGAAATATCCACAATGGAAAAAGGTTGCATTGCTTTAATAATCCATTTGACTAAAAGTATTGACCATTCTAATTGTTCTTTTTCAGAGTGCATTTGAACAGGACTTTTTCGAGTTAATAGATTATGCTTAACAAGATGATCTTGTATACTTGATGTACTAGTTTTTGGTGAAAATATAAATTTACATGTTAAACAATAAAGACATTTAGAATCATTTTTATTTATATAATGCCAGACATCGGAAGTATAATGATCTGAGCTTTTAGTATTAGGTTCTTCAATTTCAGATATTTGCATATCAGTATTAATATTTGGATTAAAAATTTTTTCTAATTCAACTTCTTCGATTTCAGATATATAGTTTTCTAAGCCATCATCATTTTCAAATTCCTCAAAATTTTCAAAATTTTCATCCATTGTATTAAAAAAAATAAAAACATACTTATATATAGTTGATTATATCTATTCGTGACTATATGTGTAAGTTCAAAAATATGCATTTATAAGAGTTTTATAAACTTTGAATCGAAACAAGCATACATTTAGAAAGGGACACTTGGTGTATTCATTTATAAAGATACATTTATCAGAAGTGCATTTATAAAGAAATGTACATACGATTAAATTCTTTTAAATATCGCTGAACTTTTTTGATAAATATTTAGTTTTTTTGGTGAAAAATATATCTCTAGCAGTATAGGTGACCTTACTTTATAATCAATTGATTAATAAATATATTTTTATTAAAGGAGTCATCTATACTATAAGAGATCCTTTATGTTATTCGAATACATAAAAAAAATTTTAATATATGAATCCTTTAAATAGATAATGTATTATTATACATATTTGTTAAGGATCTATGCAAACTATTTGGACAAAATCGATCTATTGCATAAATCTCTTAAATATCAACTACTTATCGACTTAAGTTGACTAACTTGCATATTAGTCGACTTGAAACGACTATCGACTTAAAGTTACAAGTTATCGACTTGAGTCAAGTCATTAGCATCTCTAATTGTAACAAAAAGTTTGTTAATAAATTTTTTCTATGCAATTTTATTGATTGATCATCATGGGTAACCAACATTAAAGTTTGTGTTCTTGAGTAAATTTCATTCAACACAAGATCCTGTGATTTGGATAAAGCTGGAAGTGACTTCAGCTCGGGTTTTCTTGACATTGTTATTTCATGATTAATTATATAAATTTACATATTGTATAAATTGTATTATTAATATATTTATAAACCATTAATCTTAAATGCATCAAAAAAGTAATTCCTAACCGGACACAACTAGTCCTATGATCAAAATCACGAAGTTATGAACATGTACATATTTATAAAATACTATCTTTTTTTCTATTTCTCATTTTTCTTACTTCAGTATCAATTATTTTTTATTATTTTTTTATTACCTTTTTATTATTTTTTTTATAATATTTCTTGTTTTTAAACTGTTTTTATTTGTTTTTTTTAAATAGTATTTTTTTGTGTATCTTTTTTATTTGTTTTTTTGTTAAATTAAAATTATTATTTTAACTTCTTTTTTTATTTATTATTATTTTTTAGATTTTAGATTTTGTTTTTTACCTAGTTTCTAATATTTAGTATTTTTCTTTTAGTTTTTTTTTATAATTTAAAATTACTATTCTTAATATTTTATTTTATTTTATTTTATAGTTTTTTAGTTATTAATTTTAAATATTCATATCTTTATTTTTATTTTTTTTTAATTTAACAATTATTATTTATCTGTTTTTTTTGTTATTTTTAAATGACCTAATCATGAAATACATCTTTATGTAATATTTGGAATAAGTAAAAATATTAATTTTCAAAGCTTAAGTTGAAGAATTAATTTTTGAAATTTAAATATTTTGATATTTTTTATTTTTTATTTGTTATTATATATATAATTTTGTATTTATAAACAAATAAAACCTAATAGGAATGATAATCATAGTGTAATAGTCAGGTTGTCATTTTCTAAGTGACAGGTTTAGTGTTCAAATTCTATCTATTACAAAATTTGAAAATTATACTTGTGTTATAGTAAACTGTCTTTTAATAATTAGTTAGATTAATATATTTATAACCTTAAGTTATATTATCTCAAATAAAAGTTTAGAACATTTATATAAAATGTAATATTATATATATATAAAGGAATATTAATAATTAGTATTGCATAAGATTTTGATACAAAATTATAATAAGATCATCAGATGCAATAAATTAAGAAATTAAAAGTTAGAAGCTTATTTAAAAAGTTTTAAATAAAAATATAGCATAAAATTTTAACAGTATAGTCAAATCAATAAAAGCTTATAAAATATTCTTAAAAAGATTAGTAAATAAATCAGATAACAAGATATATAAAGAAACATATAATTAACTAGGTTACTGAAATTACTAAAAAAAAATACATATATATACTATATCAGGCTATCTGAATTGAAAATCAAGAGAGTTCTATTAGTTCTAAATAGTAGTTAGTAAGAAATAATAAAAAAGATATTGTAATAATAGATATTAAGATTCTAGTAAACTTTATATAAGTAAAAATAATATAATATGGTGTTTACAGATAACTCTTATAACTACAAGTGTTAAGAAACTATAACATGTTGCACAAAACTAAGTTAGATATATGTAAAACACAAAAGGTTCTAGTAAGTTTTCTATTATAAATAAAGAGTCCTAACAGATTTGAACATATCAAGTATTTTGTATAGATATAGCTTTAAAGATATTATTATGATACAAGTAGAAATTATATATTTAGAAAGTTTAAATAAGCAAGACCTATAGTTGGCTTGCAGATATAGTATTTAGTATAAAACAAGTATAATAATATATAAACAGATTACTTAAATAAAGCACCAAAAGTGTATATATAACTAGTTGTAACTTTTTATATATAGATTTTCTTAAAGGCATCTGTATTAATAAGAACTTAAATAAAAAGATTATTTCTTAAAAATAAGAACATTAACTAAAAAAAAAACAAATAAAATTAATAAAATTATAAAAATAAATTATCATAAATTTGAAATAAAAAGTTATAAATTTTTGTATTTAAAAATAATTTATTTTATGAATATGCATAATAAATATTAATAAGGATTTTTTAAAATAGTGCACCTGTATTATGGTGCACCCCTTATATAATACAAATAAATACACCTAATTAATATATATATTTATATAACAGATATATATTATGCTGTTACACAAGATTATGTGTTGTGTTACACAAGATTATGTGTATTACACAAAATTATATAATTTAACTAAAAAACCTGTTATGTGCTAATATACTTACCCTAAAGTATAATAGATGCACCATGATGTACTGGTGTACCAAATTATAATTTCTTATTAATAAATATTGTTATTATTAATAAATTAAAAATTTTATATTTTAAGTTAAAATATAACTAATATTATACTTTATTAAATAATTAAAATTAATTTTTAAAAGTTAACTAAATTAATTCTATAAAATCTAAAAAAAAAAATTAATTGACCAAATATTTGTTAAATTTATTTATTAAAAAATAGCTAAAAATCATTATCTGATTGACTAAATACAAAATAGAAAATTATTCAATTTCTGAAAAAAAATTAAAATTTAAAAATGTTTTATAAGCTATTATTCTTAATAACTTAATAAATAACTTAATTTATAATTTTTAATAGATTACAAGTATAATTTTTTTTAAAAAAATCTTTTAAAACTTTTCTCTATAGATCTCAAAACATAAAAATCAGTAAAGGCAAAAAGCAAAAAATAGAAAAATAACAAATACAATAAAAGAAAACCTAAATAAAAAAGCCTACTCTGGGCAAGAAAACTATTTATACAAAATACAAAGCAAGAATACAACTATTTTAACTATACAAAGCAAAAATAAAAAAATAAAAAAATTTAATACTTTTAACTAAGAAGGCAAACTAAGGCTATCAAGGCTATTAGTAATACAAAGTTATAAAGTAAAAACATCAGGTACAATGAGCAATAATCACAAATATCCTACTAGACAGCAACAACATCATATCAACATAGATGCTACTTACAAAAATAACTACAATAAAAAAAAATGTACAGTGCCTTCTCAAATTCTAGTTAGCAACAAAAGTAAGCAATACAGCATAGCTTCTACAAAACAAGCAATAACATCATCTTTAGCAAATCAGCATAACAACAACACAACACAAATTGACAACAACAATAATACAACAAACATCATGAAAAAAAATAATAATAACACAGTAATCATTATACACAACACACAAGCTTATATAGCTATAAAAGAAAATCAAACAACTATAATACAGAATCTAACACCAGATATAGAAATAAATAACCAACACAACATAGAGCCTACATTAATTGAAATGCAAAACTTCTATAAAGTAATAGCAAATAGCAACCAAGCTATAGAACTAGAACAAAACAACCAAATAGATATCAAAATAGAACAAAAAAACAACCTCATAATACAAAACACAAGCAACAAACCCACATATAGTCAAATAGTTCAAAAAAACTTAAGCATAAGTAATATAACAAAAATGAAAACTGACTATACAGAAACATGGATCTAACAAGTAAATGACAACCTGAAGACCAAAGTCATCACACTATTTAACTGCAAAAAATGGTTATATAATAGTATAATTAAAGCATATAGATCCAAAGAAAAGATGCAAGCATTTATTATATATAAACTACAAACAAAACCAACTCAAAGACCAATTTCTCTTGCAACTAAAGCAAAATTTAAACATCTGATCTAAACTTCTTCACAACCTTTACATATGCCAAAAAATTTATGCTACTGCATCAAACTGAATACAATCAAATGTTTATAGATGCACTAAAAAATTACAAAACTACAAATACAATAACTATTACCAACAGAGATACCTAAAATCTAATTTACATAAAATTAAGACAGAAGTTAATTATAGACTATACAACAAACTTGAATTTTAAAACTTAACCTTCCAAACATATAGTAAAAATCTTAAAATACTATAAGGGTTTTACAAAAGATAAAACCACAATAGATACAGAGGCAATTTAAGAAGCATTAAATAATGCCCTAACATTATACTTAGCAAAACTATCTAAATCACCAGAACTTATTTTAGAAAAAATACAAAATATTCTTTCTTTTACTTTACCAATTAAATATAGATTACAGACAAGAGCAATTGTTATAGCTTTACACAAAATTTAATTCTTAGAACAACTTCCAGAAACCTACTTTACCAAACTTCCACCTTTACTAGCAGACTTAGAAGACTTAAATAAAGCAATAAAAAATCTATTTCCAATTACACAAAGAAGAGAACTTACAAGATTAGCTTACTATAAAAACAACTTCAAGACTATTACAATTGTAAAGAAATACTTAGCTACTACTTCAAATTACTACTACCTATTTTTATAAAACTATTTTTACTATAGGCATATCAAGATATAGAAGACTAACAACTTAGACAACACTTCCCAATTGATAGAGCAGACCTTCTAGTAAATATGAAGAATATAACAGCATAGTTAGAAAGCATTACATCTTTTAAGTTATACCAAATGATTACTTTAAAGTAAAACCAAATCTTCCAAAAGGTCTCTTCAAAATCAAAACTACAAATACTTACTCCTTTCTGATTACTAATAACACAATAGCAAAAAACTTCATAAATAAAATCAAAAGTACATATAAGTTTACTATACTTTTCCAGAAACAATTATGACAGCAAATCTAACATACAAACTCAGACTACCTACAAACCCAACTGAAATTATAGACTACAACCTAATCCTGCCAATTGACACACCTAAAAGACTTACAGAAATAGCACAAATGCTGAGACAAATATACTATTTCCAAAAAATACCTGAAAGCTGGATCCAAATAACTAACAGTGCACATTTACAAAATGTTGAATCTGATATATTATTAGATTAAAAATCTGAAATTTCAGACTTAATCAAAAAAATACAAGAACTAAATACAAAGAATATAGAAATAACAAATCTAGACCTACCTATTGCTCAACAAAACAAAGCAACTGAAATACTAAAAACCTTGAGAGAACACTATACAATAAAAAAAATTTCTAAATTTCTTTTCACACTTCTACCTCTTCCAGAATCTAACTAGGAAATATTTTGCTCATATGCAAAATAAATGACAACAACAAAAAAAGATAATATCTCAATCTTAATATCTTAAAAACAAAACACATTATCTTTTCAATCAAACAACAATAACTTTATTAATATACTACAAACCTTTTCTAACAAAAGCTTTATAAATATCAAAGATTATTTTAATATTGTAACCCACAATATACAGGAACTTAACAAACCACTAAACTACAGATCTGACTAGAATATTGTACTAAAAACAATTATTACATTGTCTCAATTACAGAAACCAAACTCAAAAACTCTTCTGTGTCAACACTTTCCAATTTACTCTACAAAATCTACATATTCAACTTTGAATTAAAAGACAATTCTCAACATAAAGCTAGCATGAAAACTGCAATTATGCTTTATTATAAACTTCAACTTTATATATTTAATATACAAACAGTAGCAGGCATAGCAATAAGTATTGACTTCCATCTATCTTCAAATAATAAGCTCTGTCTTATTTCAGTATACCTTCCATCAAACCATTCAGAACAACTTAAAACTACAAAAAACACAATCAACAATTAGTTATTCCAAGCAAGAAGCCATAACTGACATACAATTACAATAGAAGACTTTAATAATAATTACAACTATCTTAAATAAACATCAAATCTCTTTACTACATTTTAATCACTATTATCTACTAGCCTAATAGAATTTTATATAATAACTGAATCTACATGGCAAAGAGAGTCAAACCAAAATTAAAAAGATGACATATAGGTCAATTCTGAGATTTTACTAGACTTTAGCCTATTCAAAATTATTAATCTAGTGAATATTAGAAACAGTAATTATAAAATAATTATTACTATATAAAAAACAAATATTCAGCTAAAACTATTACAATCTAAAAAGAAATAAAGAAAAATATACCTATATTATTAAATGTTAACAGACAAATGAGAAGACTTTGCCAATGCACTTAAATTAGAATTCAAATTAATACCTCTAACTTAATTAAGAAAGTTGCAAACCAAATTATACCAAAACATATATAGCTCTTAAGACATATCATGCCTACTTTCTCAAAGCAACCAAATTACATCTGGTACTTAAACTAACAAATAAATGTTTAAATGATATTAGAAATTTAAGTTCTTCAACCTCAATAAATTCTGTTATACAAAACACTAATAATTTATTATAATGAATATCCTTCTATACAGATCAGATTATTAATTCTTGTCAAATCTAAGACATTATATCCAACTACTATTCCTTTTTGCAATTCTTAAAACATCTTCAAAAGACCTTATGAAAAGCATAAAGCTTTAAAATTCAAAATGCTTAAAAAGAAAAAATTAATTTTTATATTCAAAGAAGATACAATAATATGAAGACTAATACATCATAAATGATAAACAGTATACTCAAATATAATCAAGATCAGGTTTCATTTAATAAGATTATAATATTAGACAAAATAATTAATAACCCAAAAGAAATAAAACAAGCAACAAGAGAACACTTCAACAACTAGACCAAATACAATCTAACAAATATTCAATTTGAGCATAAATGAGTATCAGCCTTACAACCCCTATCATACATTAATCCTAACATATATAATAGCTTGTTACAACCAATAACTTTTCAAAAATTAACAGAAACTATAACCTCCTTACCAATTTACAAAGCTACAGAACCCTCTGAAATTTTGAACAAAATGTTACAACATTTACTTAAAGTTGCAAAGCAAATATTATTAGACATCTTTAATATATGTTTTATAATAAAAAAAACACCAAGTAGTTAGAGGCATGCAAACATATAGACAATTTCAAAAAAACAACATTACAACAAGGATCTTACTTATACTTGCCCAATTACATTAATTGAACATACTAGAAAAATCTTTACCAAGATAATTACTCTTTGACTTAACAAGATCTTTACTCAACACTCAATATTAAATAAAAACAATAACATTGTACTTTCTTTAACTTTTCAACCTATACAAACTGTTTCTTATATAATAAAACATGCCAATATAACAAAAAGCCCATACTAAATTTTGGTATAGGATATATCTAAAGCTTATAATATAGTTCACATACCTCTTTTAATCAAAGCACTTAAGCAAATATATATACTGACTTATATAATCAACCTATTAGACTATCTTC